AGATACTTTATTGATCCCCAAGGGGAAATTCAAAGTCCCAGCAGCTTAAGACATTACACACAACATATAAATGTATATATATATATATTGATAACAAATACTACAGTTCACACAGTATCTTACAAAATCACTAGAATACTGATTGCCTGTGTCTCATTTGGTAGCGTTAGCGTTAGCATGGTAGCGTTAGCGTGGTAGCATTAGCGTGGTAGCGTGAGCGTTAGCATGGTAACATTAGCATGGTAGCGTTAGCGTGGTAGCATTAGCGTGGTAGCGTGAGCGTTAGCATGGTAACATTAGCGTGGTAGCGTGAGCATGATAGCGTTAGCATATTAGCGTTAGCGTGCCGGCGTGGGCACACCTCCCTGAAGAAGTGGGTGGGTTGCCTGTGTCTCATTTGCATTTAAAGAGACAGGCACTCCAAAGCGAGCGCTCTGAACGGGGCTGTTTTGGGTTAGGGTTAGGGTTAGGGTTAGGGTTAGGGTTAGGGTTAGGGTTAGGCAGGGGGACTGAACTGCTATTGGGCTTCATCCTTATGGGATTCTGACCAAAGCTTGTCACAGACATTACATTAGGACACCAGGGAGCTAGCTTAACTTGTTGAAATATGGTATAACATGTCTCCTTTAAGTAAAAGCTTTCCCTGTGTTTCGGTTCGGTTCCTCCACTCTTGGAAGTGAATGTGCTGTGGAATTAACTCCACATATTTTTTTTGTTTGTTTCATTCATAAAAAAAAGAGAGTGGGAGTGCGTGTTTGTTTGTTTTAACCCTTTAAAGCCCGTTCAGAGAAGAATAGAAGGGAATATTGGATTTTTTTAGTCTGAAGTCTTTCTTTGGCCCCTCAACAACATATGAAGAAAAAAAAACAGAAATTATTTTGATCAAATTAGCGTGCAATAAGTCAAAAATCTATGTTGGTGTGGTCTTCTACTGGCTGTTATCAGGTATATCTGAATGTGTTCAACAGGGGTTTGAGCAAAGCTTTTACCACTGAATGATGCAGAAAGTCTCACATCCAAAAGAAACCGGATCAGATATGACACATTTGGCTTTATAGGGTTAAGTAATCAGGAAAATTTACCGTAATGGGATAGGATCCATCACAGTTACTCTGAAAACCCCAAAGTGAAGTGAGACCTTGAAAAACTTCAATCCAGACTAAAAACGTGCTAAGATTCTGGCTTTTTGAACTTTATGAGATTAATATTTTGGAACAAGTTAAAAAAACCCAGGCTCTCCAGGCTCTCTGAGGTTGCTTGAGAAAGGAGCATGTTACAAGTCATTAGAGTAAAAACAAACTGTTATGCAAAATGTGAAAATATTACAGCAGGAAGAAAAGAACCAGAGCAGTAAATTAATTTCTCCCTTCTGATTCCATCCAGTTACACATAGAGCCGTTACATTTTCCATTAGTACAAAACAGCTTTAAAAGGTATATCTGAATGTGTACAACAGGGGTTTGAGCAAAGCTTTTACCACTGAATGATGCAGAAAGATTTCAGAAACCGGATCAAACATGACACATTTGGCATTATAGGGTTAAGTAACAGCTGTCCCCGTGTGTTTCGGTTCGGTTCAGCTGAGGATCCGGCTGAAGGAGTGTGTTTTTGTTGAAATAAGGAAAAATAATAGTTTCTACCTTATTCCGTTCTTCCTGGACTTGCGTCTCACCGGCGCAATTTTTCGCATAGAACCGTTAGCTTTTTCTTATTTGCCTACAGTCTATGCTCATCTCCCATCAAAAGTG